GGGACAAACGGAGACTTGCAGCACCTTGCATACTTTCTCAAAATTAATTACATTGTCTATCGACATGTTCCTAGTTAAGTAGCCGAGCGGGAATTTCTAAGACCATTCCCTCATATTGAGGTTTGTTACAAGGCATTTTTAAGATAATTTAAAACAATGTAATCTGTCCTAAGGAGGTCGATTTCTAATGGTGGAACTGCGTAGGTTGCTGTCCCATCAAAGTATTGTCTCCAACACATAACACACAGGTAAATTATATCACAATAAGTGACAACCTGCAGTCACTGACAGCATAAAAATCACAGGGCGTTGTGAGTCCTGAGCGCCTTATCATCGCTCCTCTGCCAATGAGGCTGTGGCATTAGCTGCAGAAAACACCGTAGAACCATTCACTAAGCGATATGTGCGAACTTGTGCGAAGGCCACTCCCTACGTTTCTCAGAAAGTCAGTGAATACAACGCATTGGTTTGTTGTAGGCACACGCACTAAAGGAGTTCCTGAGTTGGGAGAAGACACCAGGGAGGGGCTTTCTGCCATCCTGGCGAAAGGAAGCGGAACATCCTCCCTGTGACGTCCTGTTTGACAAGGGCTTCCCTTTCAAGGCCGCTTCCTCAGGAAACGTTTTTATATTAGAAATTTCTAGCCCGATTTTCATCGGCTGGGGTGAAGGTGAGGGGAGGCGTTTCCACAGGCACTGGATGCTTCGCTGCATTTAGTGGTGAAGCCCAAATAAAAGGCTCAGGTTAGGTTAAGAGTGGGTTCCACCATATATTGTGTGCGGCTCCAGAATAATATGCCCTGGTGAATTTAAACTAGTACATGGCTGAACGTCTTTAGCCGAAATCAAAAATGAAAACAAGAAATTGAAAAGATATGACAGACGTTGTACAGAAAAAAAAAGGATCTAGGCAAGGGGGGTAAAAAAATAGTAACATCATTTTTGATAAAAAAAACATATTTCGAAAGTTGGACAATAAAACAAAAACAAGGTACAGGATTCAGATAAACAACTGCGTGGCTCTCAGCTCGCCACGCAATAAAATTTGCTTGTTTTAATTACTTACAACCTTCTCTTGGAAGGAATCGTAGGAGGCGGTTATTATACTAGTATTGTGAAAATTTTAAAATTATGCAAACTGAAGTTATCAAGTGCGTATAAGGAACCTTGTTCTCACTTTGCGTAACATGTATGTATGAAAAGAAACCAAGTCTGGGAATGCATCAAAATAAAAAAAAAAGTAGAAACCTTTGCCAAAAAAGAAAGAAGACAAGATAATAACAGAAAAATAATAACGAACAAGCACAATCACGCTACCTAGGTTTTACTTTTATTTATAATTTATATCTATTTATTAATGAATACCGGCAGCGCGTTTAAGACATTATTGCAGGGAGAGGGTCTCAAAAAAACTTGTTGGGTTACAGGGGGGAATAAATTATGTTTAAGAAAATTCCGCTCTATAGCTGCACGAACAAAACGTCATGCTTGCAATGCGTAATGCAAGCGTACAATCAAAACGCATTGCCTTGCATTTTGATACGAATAACTTATATTTGGACGATAATATCTTTAGCCTACGCATGTTCGTTTCCGACTGCTTCTGATAACAATTACTGAATGCCCTGCTTCGTCGTTTTATTAACTTCAATAGTTCGAGAGTAGCCCAAGCTTTACTGTTTTACCATTCTTCAACGTATTTGCAGGAATGTACTTGTCTGTGAGAAGTGCAGTTTTGTTTGAATAGCTTGAATCTCTGTAAGATTTTACCCGTCATTAAATATTGATAGGTAAGACTGCAGCTCCTGTGACAGTGATGCATAGTAACCTTTGTTATATAAATACAGTTTCCTTGTTTTAGAAGGACGACAAGTTTGGTGTACATAGGGATATTTCAGCAGTTACGGCTTCATAGTCGCTAAGTCCAGGAAGGACTGTGATAATATCAATGCAACCCGGAACATTACATAAAATGAAATCAATAATATTGTTTTCCCTGGTGGGCTGAGTTACGTATTGTTTAAAACTAAAGGCGTTGACAAGACATGTGAATTTGTTGTAAATATTTGTATTAGGGGCACAATTATTCCCAATATTCATTAAGAGTTCTGGGAGGATAACATCTCCCCAAACTTTGACACAATCGTTTGGAATATTTGTGATAACTTCGTGTAACCCAACCATTGTTTCAGGACCTGATTGTAGGGGTCTATAACAAGCAGCAACTAACATTGTTGTTCCTTTGAAGTTTATGCGAGACCATACACACTAGAGGCTCTTGAGTTTCAAAATAAGTGCTGCGCAATTTGTCGGCAAGCCACAACCCGCCCTGCCCCCCCCCCCCCCCCCCGCCCTTTTGACCATGGTGGCCACGTCGGTGCACTGAATATGCGCGAGGAAATACGTCACAATCGTTTACAAAATTATCAAGCCATGACTCGGTTCCCATGTCGATCGAGAGTTTGGTTGTTTCAATGAAGCCACATAATTTCGGAATTAATTTTTTTTTTTACGCTGGGACAGTTAACGATTAAGTTTCAGATTTTTTTTATCATTTTTTACTTCCGTTCCAGCCAGTTTAGGCAGCTGATTAAAATCTGTATTAATATCAGGAGAAGTGCGAGTTTGAACTCTGCTGCTCCCTTTTACCACTTGCGAGGCAGGATCAAAAATAAACATTTGTTTCCCGATAAGCAGTTTGTCGAGCCATAGCTTAAAAGGACGCCCATCGGTTTTGCCGAAGTTTAACAGCTTTTTACGAGCGAACTGTATTTCTGGCGCCAAGTCTTTGCTCACTGCGAATTCGTAACCTTTCAGTTTCAAAGCGGACGACATAACTTTTTCTTCATTCTTGAAAGAGCTACATTTGACAATAACAGGGCGGTTTTCGTTATTTCTGAACGTACCAAGCCGACATGGACGTTCAATTTCACTGCAGTCTATAGTTACATTGAACAGTTCTGAGCAAATTCTGATAACATGCTGATCGGACTCACCCCATGCCTCTTTGTCTTTATCTCAAATTCCAAGAAACAGAAGATTGGACCTACGCGATCTTGATTCCGAGTTATCACATCTTAGAGCAGCTAATTCCTCGCTAATCACTGACAGTTGTCTTTCACGCCTTATGGACCACTCATATCTAGGTTGTTTGTTTGTTTTTCTAATCCTACAGGACGCGTTGTTGAATCGAGGAGATAACTGCGTCAGTGTATTGTTGTTTTTGCTTTAAGCCTTTAGTATAGCTCAACACTTTTTCCTGTTCTGCCTTGAGCTTTTCCATGCTGCTGATAGATCCTTAACTATAGCGTATACGTTAGCCGACAACTCTTCTTTTTGTGTGTCATGGGGCCAGGGTTAGTCTCTATATCCCCGTTTAACAACAAAAGTGAACGGCGAACATATTGCAAGCAAGCACTGGGGCACGGCAGAACTATAACCCTACTGCCATTTACACATCTGTCTGCCTTCTGATGTGCCTGTAATGTTTTAATTATTTTGGAGCAAGTAAATAAATAAAACGGTAGATAACGCTTTCAACTAAAAGTACAAGCAAGCTAATTTAATGAAGTAATAAAATATATTCCCGAAATCTGCAGCTGTAACCTTTGCGAACTGTTCGGTGCTCCGAGTGCTTTTGTAATGAAGCAAAAATGTCACAATACAGCATCGCCGAATAGGCGCGAGAAATATTGAAGTTGCTGATAGCATAGAAAGTGGAGATTGATAATGCCCGACGATCTAAGTATAGAGTCTAGACTTTTATGAGCTCACCGCAACCGCGGCTAGAGAAAAAGAAATTAGCAGTGAAAGAAAGTAAAGTACACATTTGTGAATTTATGTTACAAAGTAACACAAACTAATCAAACACGTCCATGCAGACAATCAAATTGGGATTAATTTAAATTACACAGCAGCTTTTACTGGAATATTTACATCTAAAGTACGCAACGTTTACAACGTGATAAACGTTCGTCTTATTATAAGCATGCTGATCAAGATTACAGCACAAATGACAATCCGTAGGATTCGCACATTGCGCCTGAGCTAAATGGAAGTCTATGGACCTATAGCCACACAGGATTCTAATTTTCTGAGATTAATAACAGTTACAATATAGGTTCTAATAACACGGTCATGATAAATCAGAAGCATATTAGACATGACTAAGGACCATTGCACTGAGCAGGGTCATAAGGACGTTTGTTTAATAAAATTCCCGCTATACTGCTTGACTTGTTCACAAGCGATCTCGTCCGGCCTCATGACGATATTCGTCACCGTAATAATTGTATTTATTTGTTATAATGGTGTGATGCAGCAGTTGCATGCTCTGTCTAGCAATACTGAAATTGTCTTACTCGTGACACCTTGTCGTTCTTAAACCCTCTTTGCCAGCGTATTACTATCTGGCAATTGCTGCGAGTGCTAGTATCTTGAAATGCAGATGCTCCCCGGCCCTCCTCTTTTTGTATATTTTTTAACTTGGTTGCTACAGTTTCGGGTTTATTGGTTATAAAATATTCGAGCAGCCTGATATGTTTATTACAATACTTGAACATGTACACATCTCTTTTTTCTTGTTTTTTTATTATTTTATAGGAAGGAAACGCTGTCGAACTCGGTGGGACACCGATTCTCTCCTAGATCATTTTAGGAGTCAAAAGATGATAATATTAAAATTAAAACAACGATGTCTATATAAGCCATATAAAATAGCGCACATATTATTTTGTTTATTTTTCAGGCACTCAGAGACTCAAATTTTGGTTACCACTCAGACATTTCAAATTGAGTTCTCCAGATCTTAAAGAATACTATGTATACAAAGTTTCACGATTTAAATTGTAAGCAGTCAAAAAGTGTGTGATTATATATTAACTATCAAGATATAACAAAAAAAAATTGTGAAGTAAAATGATAGATCTCGTTAGATAAAGGTTTTCTTGTTTAGATAAACTCTTCTTCTCCTACAGATATCATGAAGATGAGACAAGATGATACAAGGTAAAAAATGTTGACTGTATTTTATTAAATATAAAAATGAATTTGGCGCTTCCGGGTGATAAACTCTTGCTCGCGTGTTCAAAGTGCTGGATCCTTTTAGAATAGTAGTTCACATTGATTGCTGTGTCAGGATCGCATCTTTCAACTTGCGTAATGCCACCATGGTAGACTTCAGAGCGTTGATCATATACAGCAGGGATGAAGCAGACTAGACATCCTGTTTTCCTCCTGAAAAAAAAAAAAATCTTGTTAAGTCAACTGAAGGCGAGCAGAAAAATTAAAATTCCAAGAGACGAATAAATTCTCATTTATTACTCTGATGAATAAGAACATTTTGGACCTATATGTGACACATTTAAAATATTATGATCAGTTCACTTCTCAGAATAGCAAAACATTGTCCAGTACGTTGTCTGTAAATTAATCGTATTGTTAAAATAGAACATTACGTTCCATAATATATAGATAAATATTTACCCCTGACAAAACGTTTCGTTATATGAGAGAAATCTCCCTCTGTTCATATCGGTTATAATACCGATAACTCAAGGCTATAAGAAGGTCATACTGAACCTCACCTTCAGTAACCACCAGCTCCTCCAACAACGGTGCCATGAGTCTTCTTTCCGAACTGAGACTGCTGACCAGCGGCTCCACCAGCGAATCCAGCAGATCCCTGGTGCTGTCCGGATCCGTAACTCTTGCTGTCGCTAGACGAAAAGCCAGTGCTGGAGCTGTAGCCCTGCTGGTTGTTGTAGCCCATTACGTTCTTATGGGAGCTGCCTCCATCGAACGCTCCGGAACCCTGCTGGAATCCCTGGGCACCGGCTTTGAAAGCACCCTGCTGACCACCAGCGGCCTGACCGAAGCTGGAGGCACCTCCTCCGTAACCACCACCTCCAACAAGACCAGGACCACCAAGACCAGGACCTCCCAGACCAGGTCCACCAAGACCAGGTCCACCTCCAACAAGACCGGGGCCACCTCCAACAAGACCGGGGCCACCAATTGGGCCGGGACCGACACCAATGTGTCCTCCGCCAAGACCATGACCGCTACCGTAGCCGGCACCACCACCGTATCCGCCGGCGCCACCACCGAATCCGCCAGCACCATAGGCTCCGCCTTGAGAAGCACCGTAGCTTCCTCCCTGAGAGGCACCGTAGCTTCCGTGTTGAGAGGCGCCGTAGCTGCCACCGTGAGAGGCACCGTAGCTTCCACCGTAGCCGCCGCCGTACTGCCCGCCCCCGTAGCCACCGCCGTAACCTCCTCTGCCGCCTCTGAAGCCCCCTGTGTAGCCACCGCCAAAGCCGGGACCGACGCCTCCATGGTGGAAGCCAAATCCACCTCGTCCTTCTACTTTTTCGTCCTTGCCGTCCTTAGCACCTGCATCGCCCTTCTTAGCGGCTTCGTCGGCCTTCTTTGCGGCTTCTTCGGCAAAGGCCAGGCACGCCATGGCGGCCAAAAGTGCAATAAAGAAGATCTGCCAAAATACAAGAAAATAATTTGTGAAACGGACGTCCTGGCAGTCAGAGAATGCAATAAAAGCCCATGCCGACAGCTATGGGATTTCAATTTTGAAAATGAAGAATGAGATTCTGCGGGATATATATTTTATGAAAAAACCAAATGAGCATTCTCCAGTGTTAAAACGAAATAACAGCTAGTATTTGGTGCTTCTACAACAATCTCCACATCCAAAATGGCATAGGTTTAAAAAAATAATATAATGGCGATCAAGCAATCAATATAGCAAAGCGGTATGCTTAGAACAAGCACTAAACAGAAATAAAGCAGTTTTTCTTTTTTGCTAAAGAGAATTATCAATAAGCACCACAAAAATACTCGCGAGAATACAGAGTTGTCGAGAGTGGGCATTTAAAAGTTTCTTCAAAAATATTATTGGTGCAGAAATCCAACTTACCCTCATTCTAAAGTTGAGTTCTGTTCAGGATATGGGAGATTCACTAAAGCCAATATAGACTATTTTACTGCTGATCTGTAACTTCTGGCGCGATGAACGTTCTTATATAGGGGTGCCTCTGACGAGAGAGGATAGAGGAAGGGCCAGTTACGTTACATCAAACGGAGAGAAAAAGAAGAGAGGAAAGGCCAACTTTCTCCATCGTTCGCTTGTACAACCTCTCGGCTGTGACACGATGGGTGACCTTGTATTAGCGATGCAAGAGAGGATTTTCTACGTGCAAGCGAAGAATAGACGCGCGCGCTCTTTCACAAAGGACTGGTTTTTGTGTGCGGACTTGAGGAAGTAGAGGGCTTTTGGCACGATTCGTAGCACCTATTACCGCAGCGCGTTACGTAATTATTGCCGCAATAATCTCCGTAGCACTTTTCTATCGGCCTGTCTCACGGTGAGAAAAATTCACTTGAAGCCGACTTTTACACTGAAACAACTGCTGCCCAATCTAGTTCTGAGAAGGAGAAATTCCCGTACCTCTCTTCCTCCTACGTGTCAAGAAACTAAGTGAGTTGCGCTTTGCATTTTGTACGCTCGTGGAATCAATTGTGTGGGTGATTCCTTTCCTTTTTTCTTTTTTGTTTCATCAAGACAAAACGGAAAAACCCCTCACCACGCTGTTGCTGTAATGTTTTCGTCATTGTTTTAATATTTAATGTCTATTATGGTGTTATCCATCATTTTAGCCTTTAGTCCTACTGAAATTTCAGAAGCATAGTGTAAGCACCTGATAGAAAGATATCATGTACACCCCCCCCCCATAATCAATCGAATCCCTTATACCTAAATATTGACATTTAAAGCGGAATTAATGATAATAATATAGTCATGATGCGATGGATCACATTAAATTATGAAATAAGATCACTAAAATGTATATCTAAACTGACCGTAATATTGATATTGAAGAAAGCTCTGGAGCGCATATTTTCATAAACACATATTCAGATTCTTTGCCTAATTCTGAGCCGTTGTCTATATAATTTATTCTGGGTGATAACCATAAGGAAGCGCGAAATATAATACACCTTACACTTTAAAAAAAGTCTGTGTGTCTACTTTCACGTACAACACTTGGAGAGCCAATCAGCGCAACTTACGGAGGCAGCTCAGCGAATAACGATGCCGGAACATCTGTTTACACCAAAAAACGCAGACTGAGTTGTGACATTAAGCAATGCAAGCGTGACGTTCTGCATTGCTTAATGTCACAAATCAGACTGCGTTTTTTGGCCTAAACATATGTTTCGGCATCGTCATTCGATGAGCTGCCTCCGTAAGTTGCGCTGATTGGCTCTCCGAGTGTTGTGCGTGAAAGTAGACGCACAGACATTTTTTAGAGTGTAGCTATAACGTTAGCTATGAACGTCGACTTTTATCTTTCTAATTTGCGATGCGGCACCCACATTTACTGTTTGTATTTAAATGGGAGATATGTTCTCGCGCTAGACTTATATTGCCCGATAAAAAGTTTAAAAAAAGCGCTACACTCTAAAAAAGCCCGTGCGTCCACTTTCCCGCACAACAGTCGAAGAGCCAATCACGGCAACTTACGAAGGCAGCTCAGCGAATGACGATGCAGAAACATATGTTTAAACCAAGAAACGCAGTCTGAGTTGTGACATTAAGCAATGCAAAACGTCACGCTTGCATTGCTTAGTGTCACAACTCAGACTACGTTTTTTGGTCTAAGCATATGTTTCGGCATCGTCATTCGCTGAGCTGCATCGTAAGTTGCAGTGATTGGCTCTTCGAGTGTTATGCGGGAAAGCAGATGCACGTTTTTTTTTAGAGTGTACAAGCTAAAAGTCGCTTTCCTTAAAGTGCTCTGATACACGGATGGTGATCGATGCCTTGTGAAACAAAAATCAACCTTACTACTGATATTCATAATTTGACGATTTTCTAACGTAGTCTGTATTACAGCAAAACTTTTTCCGTCACTTGAATTTATTATGCCATTTTCGGTTTTAAACTTAATTTATTTGCTTCTACGTTTTAGTCTAAATAATATAACACAATGCTGAAAAATTTAAGTGATCATAAAAAAATAAATAGAAGATCAGGCTGCTCAGGTTTTTTTAAGGAAATTTTGATTTCAAAGTTTATCTAGTTGAAGTTAGTATTGATTCAACTGGAAAACCTTCGGATCTTTGACGGTAGAGCCTCCGTTTTTACTATTTACGTACGAATTTTCGAAGGAATGCTTATTTTGTCAAATCAAATATAGTTTAGAAAGGCTTTCAGATACTGATACCAGAAGGAAACGCGTTGCTCCCTTCTTTATTGTGCTGTTTTACACATGAAATTAAATATTAATCTACTTTGAAAATGCGCACACTTGCGAAAAATACTACGTAGTCCTCAGCACAGCTACAGAAAATGTTTTGAGTATTTGTTTTACTCGTGTTTAGTATGAATAGAACCTGCACTCTGAAGACAGTTAGATCCAACGATTCGCGTTATACGCACTCCCGAGGGGCAAATCCTGCTTCCATCAAGCACAGGCGAGCTTCGACGCTCAAGTTCCCCGCCTTCGGTCAGTGGATTATCCGGAACACCTATTGGAGTCGGTTGCAGGCGCTTTGTTTAAGAAAATCAAATTAGAAGGCGGTGAAAATGTGCAAAACCCTCCTAAAAAAAAAACAAAGTTGCTGTGGTCCCGTATAGGCATAGAGTTTCCCATGGCTTAAAAAAAGAGGAAAGCGGGTAGATGTCACATGTGGTCTTCTCTGCTACGAACAAATTGTCTAAGCTTAGCAGAAATGTCAATCAGTCTGCCAGGATGCCTCTCGAGTGCACAAAGCCTCAAAATCAGTTTGTTGATAGTACACAAAAAGTTGTTTATTCCATACCGCTATTCTGTGGTAAACGATGCGTAGGACAGACGGGCAGATGCCTGGATGATAGGTTAAGAAAGCATTGTTACAATGTAAGCAGGGTAGCAACAAGACACTTGGGCATTCATTGCCGTGTGATGCGGAATTTAAAAAAAAAATGCCCTGTAATTTGAAAAAGTGTCAATGCCCTGACCAGAGAGATTATGGAAGCAGAGACGATTGCGCGCTTGGGGGAAGAGTGTGTCAGCGCCCCGTCGGTTCTTTTGTCGGCTAAAGAATTAGATTTCCTTTCACTGCGACAGCATGCACGATGAGACTGCGTGCGGGTTTCAGTGGGGTGTCATTGGCTGTGTGCGCTTCCTTTTGTTTGGTAGTGTATATAGACTGCGCCTTGACGATTAAAACTTCAGTGATAAGTTCAGCGTTTGTTTGTCTCATTTCTTCCGTCCTGCCTGTTTTGCTATAAGATTTAAATAATCACGGCTTACCAACACACCCAAGCTTCCATTCTGACCCGGGAGAGCACCCAACAATATTTATTGTTTGCTAATCTTGCGGATTAAGTTGGGAGCACACTTGCGCCCGTTACATGAAAAATGTTATGAATTAAAGTTACAAATTACAGAGCCTCAAATGTAAGGATTACAGTTAGCAATTACTTTCGCTGAAAAGCAACGAATTACTTTGCTAGTTACGTTACCAATTACTTTTACGTTACTCTTCCCGTACACTTATCAAGAGAAAATATAAATATAAAATATCGCAAAACGGACAGGGACACTAAGTAAACAAAACAAGCGCTACCCTTGTTTACCTCGTGCCCTATCTTTTTTCCGGATGTTTATGTTTAACTAAGATGAACTAACTAACCCAGCAACGTAGCCCACTAGACAATAGAAACAATTTTGATGTTTTAAAAAAAAATGTTCTACAGCTTTAATTTCTATTCCTCATATGCCCGCTTTATGGTAGTCCTTGTAAAATAAAACATTGCATTTAAGAGAAAGAGTGTAGGTGCACCCCGTTCACCTGTAGGCTGACAAGGCAGTGAAAGCTGTAAAACCCCACCCGCCATCCCGCTAGCATACGGTGACATGAAATGATCCCAGGAATTCTGTAGACAAAGCTATCGGTGCGCATGCTTAGTACCAGCGTCTACCTCTGCTAGGAGATTCGGAAGTAACTAACCGATCTACGAAAGCTCCTTTTTGAAACGGGCTTTTCAAGCGTGAGCGCAACGCCTCAAAGCTACGGTCTCATGCGTGTAGCTTTCACGCACTGTCAGCTTATGCATGAACGGAGTATTGTTGCATGCAGTATTGAGAAATGCATGGGCGCGAGAGGTCGTTTTTAAGCTTCGGTGGAGCAGATGGTCGCACACTCATATTGCTCCAGTTTTTGTATTATGTTAATATAAAAAAGTAACGAGCAATTAAAGTTATCCGTTGCCAATATTTTGGAAGGAAATTACATTACGAATTACTGCAGCAAAGAAGTAACGAGTTAATTACAAAAGTACTTGAAAAAGTAACGAATTACAAGTAACGGGTTACTTGGAACGGAGTACTTTAACGGATTACTTCCTAAGTATTGTTGGGAGACAGAATGTGAAACGTGTTTTGAGCTGCGCTGATTTAGCTTGACATGGACACTCTGCCATGTGCCACCGTTACGTTGGAAAGTCACGTTGACGTCACGGTGCTGCGTGACACGAGAAATATCACGTGACGTGACGTCACTAAGTCAAATCAGTCTCACTAGATATAACATGAGGTTACGTGACGTAACGGTGCACTTCACAATGTCCGCAAATTTTAAATCACGTGACGCGGTGTCACGTGACACAATTACGTTAAGGTGTCGCATAACTTTACGCTGTCCCGTCACGGTGTCAGGTGACGATACCATGATGACACCATGCTGACGACGTCACGTGAACACCGTTCGCTAATATTTAGCTGGACTGACGTCTTTGCAAATTTAGTGAGACGCGAATTCTCCCAAATCGACGGTCGCTCGAAGTTTGTTTTTGTGTTTTGCAGCTCGGTTTGGCGTAAAGGTTTTTCATGTCTTCACGTCAACACACCTTCTTCCGGGATCCCAGCCTTCAAATGTACATTTCGCGCTAAAAGTTCCATATTCAATACCCCTTCCTGTAACTTCATAAACAATAATCGAGTGGG